ATATATATTTATATATATATATATATATATATATATATATATATATATATATATATATATATATATATATATATATATATATATATATATATATATATATATATATTTATATATATTTTTTTTTTATTTTTTTATAAATATATATATATATATATATATATATATATATATATATATATATATATATATATATATATATATATATATATATATATATATATATATATATATATATATATATATATATATATATATATATATATATATATATATATATATATATATATATATATATATATATATATATATATATATATATATATACACACTCATCTGTTTTTAAATAGGTGTCGTTTTCAAACTTTGCACAAATATTAAGAAACCTAATAAATGTGTCTTGATTTGAAAATAAATATATATTGTTAGACCAAAACACCCTTGTTTACTAATTAATATAGATAAAATGTTTGAAAGTTTATAAGGATATAATTAAAAAATATGTAACTAATACAGTACTGAAATTCTAAATTTATGTACGGGTAATATAAAACAAAAAGAATTTTTAGAAGTGACAGTTATTGTGAAATAACGAAAGTATATGATTAAGCGTGTGTTAATCATACGCTTGTGTTGCCGTTTAATTAGGTGATGAAATGAGAATAAAGTGACATTCTTAGGTAATTAGTTTCTTCAACTCATATTTCTTACAAACAAAGACAAATGATGCTGTCAACGTTTCTATCTTCAATGTTGTAATTTTTGACCAAAAGTAGTAATTAAATTGATGTGTAAAGTTAGAATCTTTTACATCCGTTTTGCATTCCCTTTTCTTAAATAACTTAATTATGCCGCCCTTCACATTTGTTTGTCAGTTATGCCATTCACACTGTGTTTGTAACTTTGTATATAGTGGCAAAGCCGGTTTATTTTATGCGCTACACCCGGTGAAATACATCGAGTGATTATTAACAATTGATTTCCACATAATAACACGCAAATCCGTATGTATGTGTTAACTAAGAAGTTATTTCATTAATCAACGGTTAATAATCACCTAGTTTATTTCACAGGTGTAGCATATCGATAAACGGCAAAGCCAATGTTCTTCAAATATTTTTTAAGGTACTCGTCGAAAATAATATTTATTATATTATGTATTATTGTAAAAGCCCAATCGTAGAAATACAAGCCCACAATAGAATTAGATTAGAGATTATAGGTCAAATTTTATGAAAATTTGTTGTTTGGGCCCATAAGTTATTGGGCTTGATATCTCGACATAAGCTTACTATCGGCCCGAATTATTAATGAAATTGTTGTACATCCTTATAATTATCAATATATATAAAAACAGCAATAAATAAATATATGAATTTTGAATAATTATTATTCATCTATTTTTTAGTATATATGATTATTTGCTACAAATACGACGTGATTCTAATTTTTTTAGTAAATAAAGTATTTACTTCATTTTTATTTTATTTCGTTCGTCTCAAAGTAACTTTCGTTTAAAGTTTCAAAATAAAAAAATGAATTGGTTCTAGGAAAATATACTAATATGACTAAATTTTTTTTCCAACTAATGTTATTTTTATTAATTACTCTAATCTATTTGTGAGAAAATTATTGTATGATATAACTTAAGAGCAATAAACACAAATATAAAAAAAAGGGTGTTATTGCAATATTGATATTTTAAAGTAGTGAAAAGTAAAAGACACACGAATTAATCTGAGCCGTTGATCATCACAAACAAAAAGAGGAAATTGGGGAAGAAGATGACAATTTTGAGCATAACATCTGTGGAATTTACAGACATTATCGTATCTGAGAAAAATATTTCCCAATTATTCATTCACAAGTAGCCGTTAAAAAAAAAACCCACATACTCAAGAATCTCTCTTTATCCGCCAAAAATGGCGGCTGCTGCAAATATTTCACTACAATTCTCATCTTCACTCGTCCATGGCGAGACGAAGCTCTCAGCATCCTCCACTCTTCTTATGGGTGCCCCGCTCGCTTCGCGCAGCCCTTGCCCTCCATATGGTATGTGATTTGCCCGCAAGGTGTTTGTGTTATTGCCCCTGTGAGCTTGTTCACCTTTATTCTTCTATCCTGCTGTAACTTTTAATTTTTGTGATTTTGGTATTTGCAATGATTGGAGATTTTTAAGTTTTCTTTGATGTTTTCCATCTATTCATCATGGGCTAGATGTGTTAATAGTCTCTGAATATTGTTGTTTGCTCTATGATGTTAAAATTTAGGGTGATAAGTTGGGTTAATTGGAAATTCTGTTATTACTTGTTCACAAAATTTAGAAAATTTTGGAACCCTAAATTGTTTTTGCTTGATTAATTCACGGGTTCTAATTTTCTTGCATGTGTTCTTGAAATGAAGATTTAAAAATGGCAAGGCCACTTGTTATTCAATCGAAGAGGTTATCGGGCTTGGAGGAGTCCATCAGAATAAGAAGGTACTATCTTTTTCTCTGAGGTCTTGTTTTATTAAACAACTGAACTTTTCATATGAAAATTTTGTGATGTATTGTTATTTTGATATAGGGAGCGTGAGCTACAAACTTCAACTACGTCTAAAAGAAGGCCCGCTTTAAGGCGCGGAAAGGTATCCCAACGTCTGCCTGTACCCGATCACATCCCAAATCCGCCTTACGTTGCTTCAAAATTGTTGCCAGAAATTGCAAAGGAACATCAAATTCACGACATGGAAGGCCTCGTTCGCATGAGGGCTGCATGCGAGCTTGCTGCTCGGGTTGTTGACTTTGCTGGAACATTAGTTAGGGTGAGAATTTCGCAGCTTATAAGTAATCAAGATATCGATATTTGCTATGCATAATCATTTTTTCGTATATAATGTTGTTTGTGCCGTTTTCATTTTCGTCATTTCAAAATCCATCAACCAAAAGGAGCCTATAATAAAGCACTTAAGTTATTTAACTGATTTTTTTTTTATATATTCGACTTATACTACGTGAAATTTCGTTTATATGGTTATCATTGTTTTTTCTCAGCCTTCAGTGACGACAAATGAAATCGATAAAGCTGTGCATCAAATGATAATCGATGCTGGGGCCTACCCTTCTCCATTAGGGTATGGTGGCTTTCCTAAGAGTGTATGTACATCGGTTAATGAGTGTATGTGTCATGGCATACCCGATTCTCGACAATTGCAGGATGGTGATATAATCAACATTGACGTCACAGTCTACTTAAACGTAAGAATTTCATAATATTCAATTTATATTATTTTCCGTTTTTATTTCAGCTTTTAGTTTCGCCTTTCAGGGTTATCATGGAGATACATCAAAGACATTTCTTTGCGGCGAAGTGAATAATGCAATGAAAAAGCTTGTAAAGGTACCTTTGCTTTTTTTTTTTTTTTTTTTTTTTTACGCCGATTATTCGATGAATTGTGAGTCACGGGTCTACATTTTTCGTTTGAAAAGGTGACGGAAGAATGCATGTATAAGGGCATTGACGTTTGCAAAGATGGTGCTGTGTTTAGAAAAATCGGAAAAAAAATCAGGTAAATAGTTTTTTAATTCAACTGCAAATTTAGCCAAGAAAGTTAATGTTTGAGATTTACGATTATACAATATCATTTCATATGATTGATTAAATATTGAAACTCCGGCTCGTTTTTATTGTGTCAGTGAACATGCTGAAAAATTCGGGTTTGGCGTGGTGGACCGTTTTGTCGGACATGGCATCGGGACTATTTTTCACTCCGAGCCTCTCATTTTTCACCACAGTAAGTAGCATTCATTTAATTTTAAATGTCGACCGATTCTGTTGATTCGATTAATTATTTTCCTAATTGGTTGGTGATATAAAAAAATAAATTTCTTTCGATAGGTAATGACAAGGGCGGCTGCATGGTTGAAGGGCAAACGTTTACCATTGGTGAGTTTTGTAATTTGTTATCACTATCATATATGTATTTATTTTCCGTTCGAATTTTAGTACTTTTTTTATATTTTTAAAGAAATTTACGATTGTTGTTGCAGAACCTATTCTTACGTTGGGAACCACGGATTGCATAACCTGGGAAGATAACTGGACTACGCTAACTGCCGACGGCAGCCCTGCAGCACAGTTTGAGCATACAATTCTCATTACAAAAACCGGTGCCGAAATATTGACGAAATATTGAGGTAGTTATTTATTTATTTATTTATTTTCTGGGCTTATTATATATGATTTATATGAAATTTTGGCTTAGCATATAAACCATGAATGCATTTGAGCCGAAAGAAAACGCTTTTGTTGTCTAATTTTTTCGCAGTACAGAGAATCGTTATAATGAGAGAGTGGTTTCGAATTAGCAGTTTTTAGTTCCAAAAGATCTGTACGATATTATCGAATCGTTATTTTTATATTGAAAATCGAAGACAAAACCGAAGCTGGTCGGTTAGGAGTGGTGGACTTTCAAAATCATTCCAGATTCTCACAAAAAAGTTCGGGTCTTCTTTTTTGATCTCCGATTACTCGATAATTTCCACGAGCACAAATTCGTCGATCGGAAAAAAGAATGTCAGAGGAAAAGAAAAATACAATGTAGTGGGATTTATGCTAAAAATAATATAATGAGGTGGATTTTATGTCATAAACAGATGTTAATTAATTTTGTATAAATGGAAAATCTACAAAGAGAATCTGGGGTTTATAAATTATCCCTATTAATTAAATATTAACCACGTTTTAGCATGTGGACAAAATTGGGTTAGGTGAGGTTTTGAGATTTACATTTAGTTCTTCACCTATGTTTTTAATATTAATTAATTAATTAATTAATTAGTTGGCCATGTGATATGTGTACAGTTTTATGTAATCGAGATCCAAAGGGGGTATATTCACGCTGGAGTCTGTCCGAAAATATATTATCTCATCCCAAATAATACATTGATTTTAATACTATATAACAAAATTCAATCATATTGTCTAATATAGACTATAATACCTTTGATTTTAATTAATTATTGTTTTTTAACTATGCGCTAATATTAAAAATATTAATAAATGTGTCTTGATTTTAGGAAAAATATATTATAAGAACTAAAATAATTTATAGTTTAATGAATACTGAGGTTGAAATATATAAAAAAAAATTAATACAGTATTGAAAATATATAAAAAAAATGCATTTATACACTGAAATTGCAAATATTACACCTATTCCATATTATTTGTCTTTTTGAAGAATGTTTTCGTCTCAAATCATTTGTCAATTTAAAATTTCAATAAAATGTTAATTGCATTTTTTCCACCCGGAATTAGTTTTAAATATGTTCATATTTATTGAGTATTTCTTA